TAAACCTCCTAAGATCTGGGACAACAAAAATTAAGAATACACTTGGAACAAATGCAAGTGAACTCCAGTGCAAAGAATTGACAGCTCCCTCTACTGAAAGCCAGCTGTGACAAGCTGGAACACAGGATTAGCCTTAATAGTGTTTTATCTTTCAAGATTTGTATCCCACCCTAGAAAGAAAAAATGTCAAGGAAAGCCAGCTACTGTAGGAAAGCTTAGGAGCAGAGGAGAACCGTAAGATGTTCAGTATTTAACAATTCATGAACCAGTTCACTGTCACAGAGAGAACTTTATAGCACCAAGAGTTTACAGCAATTTAATTTGAATCCTTCTACTGTAAAAGTTCTCATGCATTTTGATAAGCCATTTTCAAAGGAACAGATGAAGTGCCAGAGGAAAGAATTCCCCTTTGAAATTGTGTGCTTTAGAGGATGAATATCTAAGAACATTGCTGTGACATCTTATTTAAGGGCCTCATGACAAGCTGCCTTTGAAGACAACTGCAGGGAGTTTTATGAAGGAATGACAGCCAGAGTTAACAACTCCAGAACCTGTACCTCACTCGTGGTGCGGATGAGCCCTGACACCAGCCCACAGATCTGGTTGCCACGATTGCTGTATGCAGACAGATCAATTCTGGGCAAGTCTTTATGCCTGTAGTTGGGATCAATCTGCTGGTTCAGCTGCAGCAGTTCCTCCTGGATGGAATAAAGGCGGCGCAGTCTCTCCTGGCCCTCCTCCTTGCGCAAACGTTCCAGCTCTTCCTGGCGCTGCCTCTGCTGCTCTGCCTCACGCAATTTTAGGTTCAATATCTGGGGAGAAAAAGACACAAGAGTCATAAAATACTTCAATAACTCAAGTTGTACAGCTCCTTCCTGGTCTGATGACTCCAGCTTTACAGGACCTTCCCGTTCCTATGACACAAGTGCCTTTACTGCATTTCCACACTGCAGCAGGTGCCCAGGATAGCACCAGAAAATCCATCCTCGCTTCAGAGTGTCATGGAAATACAAATAAATCCATTGGTCTTTCCAGTTCCCACCCAGCAGTTAGGAAAGACAATTCTTAAGAGTCTCAGACCTTTGCTCTATGTCGGTGTTCTTCCTTCAACTTCTCTTGCTGCCCCTGAGCCTCCTTTGAGCTACAATACACATAAAGACAGAAAAACTGTATTCAAGACATTCAGGAGAGAAAACACAAACCAACACACAGGAAGCTCTTCTTAAAACAAGCTAAAGGAACTTTAGCTATCACAAATATTGTCTTTTTCTAACCACTGATACCTCAGGAATAGCCAGACATCTACTCTGACAGCCAAACTCTAACAGGATAGTTAATGTAAGACAAGCAGCAGGTGAGATTGCACATAGTGACTAACACAGATGGGAATTAACCCTCACTTTGATTAAATGCTATAAAATTCTAATGATACCAGAGGTAATCTCACCTCTTCTCCATTACTTCTTGCAACTCTTGGAATTCCTGATGCCGCTTTAGCTCCCTCAGTTCATCAAAGCGCTTCAGCTGCTCGCTGGCCTGGGCATAGGCTGCCCTCACCATCTGCTCCTGCTCCTCCTGCCGCTGTCTCAGCCTCTCCTGGTTACAGAGGGGTACCAAAGGAAGTCACTGAACAATCTGGACAGAAGAAAACACCAACTAAACTGCCCAACATTTATACCTTGCTGTCCTTGCACTGTTACCTCTGATTGTGGAGCCCTCCTGGGATTCACAGACACCCCCTCCTTCATTTTTTCTTACCTTTGCTTTCAGTCTGTGCAACTCTTCATACATCCTAATGCAGCCTTCGACTTTTGCAACTTTAGAAGACACAACTGCTGGAACAACTTCTTGATTTATTTCCAGGAGACTAAGATGATCATTTTCCTGCGTGGTCAGCATAAAAGCAAAATCAATGACTAAGCACAGAGTCAGCAACTCATGGAGGAAAACAGATAAAAGAAGTCTCCTAAATTATTATTTGTGAAGAAACAGACAAAGGAATCAACAAATACATGTTTCTAGAGCAGTTATGTACCCCAGCAGTGCAACCTCACTATTTCAAGTATCCTCCAGCACATTTATGAGACTGGGATAATTACTTTTCCAATCAATTAAACTGCGAGCAGACATATCAAGAGTCTCAAGGACATTGACAAAGGCCAACTGGCACCTGGAAAGCCCAGACAACCCCACGTCCTCTGAACAATCAGGGAAGATCATACACTGGAAGAAGTCAAGACAGGTTTATACTTTGAATCAATCTTCAGGAGGAGTGTTGAGACTCTCTTATGAAGTTTATCACATCTTGCTGCTTCATTAATACCTTTTCCTCACAATATATTTTTTAAGTCTCACTAGAGGCAGGATGATATAAAACTTTGCTGCTCCGTATCACTGTTATATGGTGAAGTCATCATTGAAAAAAACAATTGGTATTTCCCTTTCCAGAGGGCAATCATGAAATGGCTTAATCAACTTAATTACTTCCAAAACTCAACTGCTTATTGCTCAGCTTCCTACCTTTCTGCCTTGTAAAACACTCAGAATACATCTAAGTCAAAGACTCCAGAGAACCCACTGTGGTTACTCAGGGACATTTATAACAGCCCTGACCCTCCTCTATGGCCTTATCCCTCCAAATGGGTGAATCCTGTGCTGCTAATTCATAACACAACAGAGTTCCAACTATTTTCCTCACTTATGGTGAAAAATGGGAGTTTGCTTTGGGTCAACTGTGAAACATTATTTATGAAAAACTTGCTGATACTAACTTTATCATCACCTGTTCATGTTCCAAAAACTTAAAACAAAGGATGTTTTCCCCATAAATTAACATAGCACAAACCAGCCTTAATCTGACAATTTATGGCAGCAAGTTAGGACTTTATTTTCTCACAGCTGCTCCATAAACATACGGATTATAATCAGAGAGCTACCTTGGTCTCACTGGGCTCTGTAGATGAAGGTGGTGAAGAGCTCCGGTGGCTGCCAGGCGGGATCTTCTCCGCAGACGCCCGTTTGGGGAGTGGAGTGGATTGTTTGGGCGTGGAAGTCTCGGAGGGTGTGATTTCTTGGGCTAATTGCCCACTGAGGCTGTCCAGCACCCAGCCGCAGTAAGGGGAGAGCTCAACGGGAGCCACACATCCTTCCAAGGCAGCCTTGAGAGAAAATATCGTCCGTGAACGCGGCACAGCCTTAACACTGCATAAAACTTAAACACACCACGAGCAAATATGCACAGTCTGCAGCTGCTTTGGAATCGCAGCTCAGTATCCCATTTAATCCTTTTTTCTGTTGTCTTTCCAACACTTTTTCCGAACTCTCCAACTTTTGCAGGACATTTGAACCCTCTCGGGCCAGCCCCGCTCCCTGACCCCGCGCTGCCGAGCCAGGACCCGCTCTGGGGGTATTTAAAGCCCTGAGGGTCACCGAGATGAGCGCTCGGTGTTTTCCCAGCGGGCAGGGCCGGCTCCAGGGGCGAGCCCTCACCTCATCCTCCTGCCAGCGGCTGCAGTAGCTCAGCCGGCCCTTGCTGGAGAGGCGCAGGGCCTCTAGAGTGTCGAAGCGGAGCTGCCACGACTCCATGGCGACCCTGCCCGGGAGCACAGAGCCGCACGGAGCCGCGGGTTCCCTCACGGCCGGGCCGGTCCCATCCCGCCCCTTCCGGGCCGCAATGGCCGCATCCGCCTCCGGCCGGGCGGGAGCGGCGGCCGCCCCCTGGCGGACGGGCGGGGCCAGGCCCGGCGCCGCGGGTTCGAGTCCCGCCCCCGGCAGCGGTGCGCTAAGGACGGGCGGGGCCGGGAAACAGCCGCAGGTTCAGCGATTTCCTAAGGATTTATTCTGGGTATTCTCGCCGAGGGAGGGCTGGAGCCGCCTTGCTCTGCTTAGCTCCAATCGCAGAAGCAGAGAGAAGGCTCCACCTGTGAACTACAGAAACAGTTGGGAATTCAGCTGCCTGCACCAACAGCACTGGGATGTGTTTGCTTTTCACACACAAAGCACCTGAAGAGGAAATTCCCACCATAACCAATTAAAATGTAGTTTATTGTTTTCTCCCCCAGCACTTCTGGGCTTTTTAAAGTGTTAAATGTGCGCAATTACAGATCTTTCGGAAACTGATTCGTTTAGAAACTTTTTATGACAAATACTGCCAGTGACCACATCACGTACACATCAATAAGATACAAAAGAGAGAAATATAAAAACAAGGTTTATTTTTGTCCCCCTAAGAACCATTTAGTAGAAACAATAGGCCACTAGAGAGCACATGGACTTTAGGGTCTTGACACACAAAAGACCTGATTTTCCAGAAGGTGCAGGGGAATTTGATGAAGAAGTTGAATATCTGCAGCTTCTCCTTAGTGGGTTTAAGATGAAGTCAGGATTTCACGCACACCCAGGACTCACATGGCATTTGCACCAAGATCCCAAATGAAGTGACACTGATTTCCTTTGAATTTATACTGTTTTGGCTCAGTCCTGGGTGGGTATACTCAGGATCAGAAAATCAGGGTAAGAGGAGAAAAGTAACATGACCATCACGCTCACAAATAAAGGTAAGGATCAGGGATATAAGAATATAAGAATCAAGTATAAAAAATCAAACCAAACTCACTATTTCTGGTATAAAATTGTTACAAACAATGTGGTTGTGCAGGAGATTCTCTCTTGTGAGTGTAGAGCCCAGCCACCTATGTTATTTTCAGCATCACACCAACAGTATTAAAAAAATATTTTAAAAATCCCACAGGCAAAAAGCCCCCACATGATCTCCTCAACAGAGAAACCAAATGAGAAGTGAAGCACAAAGAGAGCTCTTTACAAAAATTAACACACTCAACAAACCTCTGACAGGTTTTAAGATCTGAAATCATCATGATCTAACAGGAGGAAAAGGATCTTTTCCATTATATGCAAAACCTCCTGGGTTTGGGGCTCAGTTTATGGTGTAACACCAACCTTTAGCACCAAACCAGTACTGCTGATACCCCACATTTTGATCAGATACCAACATCATTTTATTTTTTCATTCTGCAATAAAAAAAGTCTCCCAACAGTGACCCTAAAATGCTATCCAGTTTTCTATATCAATATGGCTTTTGAAACAAAGCTCTTTCTGTGTGCTTAAAAAAGGTGCAAGTAATGCATTGCTCTCAGAGAAGAGAGCGAGTGTGGCTGGGGGAGCCCAGAAAAGCACTTTCCCTAAAAACATTGTCGTAGGAAGACTTGAGGAACTGGACGTAGTTCTGCATGCTGCGGTTGGTGCTCTCCGACTGCTCCAGCCGATCCCGCAGGTCCTGGAGGCGGCTTTCGTATCGGCGCTCTGCCTGCACAGGGGAGCACAAAACAGGCTGAAAGGCAGCAACATTCATCCTCTTCATGTTAAACTCTTCCCCCAAAGTGCTGAGGAGAGCCAGAATTAGCACAGCAGGAGATGACATTACCATAGATGGTGCTGTGATATTTATAATTTCTGCTCATTCCGAACTCCATTCAGCAACCCGCTGATAAAAGCAGGAGACAACTTGGCTAATCAGCTGGGATTTTAAAATATATTAGCTGTAGTTATGGGGAATGAAACACATCCTTTTCTGAAAAGCAGCTTGACCTGATCCATCAGCTAATACAATTCCACGTAAAACTAAAGCAAGGAAGCAAGGTAAATAGGACATGACAAAAGATTCCCAGTCTTTCTTCTAGAAGAAATCCTTTCCTCTAGAAAAGAAATTGCACTCTCTCTGAGGCAAAATGAAATCAATCATACCACCAGTACAGCAAGAATATCCCCCACAAGCCACTCACATCCTCTTTGCTCCGTTGCAACTGGTTCAGCTCTGTTTTATTCCTGCTCAGCTGGGTCTCTAAATCCAAAACCTTGGACTGGGCTGCCCTCTCTCTGGAGACTGCTCGTTCTCGAGCTTGTTCCACCTACACAGAACAACAACTTTGTTAAAGGTGTGTCTATGGAAGAATGTTTTTTCCATAACCATTGCCCACAAAAGCCCTTTAAAGTTTAAAGCATCACATTCTCATACATAAGCAACAGCTCAGTCCAGTGCTTTTCTCTGCTGAAAACCGAGTTCAGCTCTTCAACAGTGCTGCCAAATAGCACCAGCATATTACTTGTATTTCACTGAACATGATGATTTTAATTGGTTTGGTCATAAGCTGAGAAGATATTTTCAGCATTCTCACTGTTCCCCTTTCACAGCCTGGGTAGCTTTGGGTGAATTCACAAACATGAGAAATTACTCACTTGTCTTTTGGCATCCTCAATGGCCATCTCCAGCTGACGTGCCAGGGAGCTGCACTCACGGCTCTTCTCCTCCAGCCGCAGCTGACACTGGTGGATTGACTCCTCACGTTTTGCTATGACCTGAAGGAATTCTATGTTCTGGGCATTCGTGGACTCTAGTTTTCTAGTTTAAGACAATAAGGGAAGGAAACCTATTCATTTTAAATGGAGTGTGTTTTATTCTGCCTTTTGTCAGGTCCTGACTCCTCTGGTAGTAGATTCTATTCCCCCTTGAAAGGTGAGAGCCCAGTCCTCAAATCAAAATTTCAAAGATTGAAGGACCTACGGAGTACTCATATACCTGCATTTTCTGAGATATTGTTGCTAAAAGAAATTTATAAACATAGGTAAAAATACTGTAGTATCTAGTAACCTCAGAATTACCAGGCTAGATTGGACAAGAGCTGGTTTCTCTGCTGTCTAAGCCATCATCCTGTCTAAGAACATTTACAACAGGTGCTGCTGCAAAAGCATAAAACCCTCAGTGGACAGCTACTGGTTAGAGAACCTTGTGGGATAAGCAAATGCACAGAATCCTGGAGGCATGTGGGGAACTGGAACAAGACTGAAGCTGTTTCAATCCCCTGTAAAAACAATGGAAATGGAAGGTTAAAAAAGCAAGAGAGCCTAGTATTTCTAACCTTTCTAGTTCCTCCACCTTCAAGGTGAGCTGCTTTTTCTCCTCTTGGGCAGACTGATATCTCTCTCTTGTCATCTCCATTTTGTCCCCCTGGAGGTCAATCTAAAAATTACAGGAATTAATTACTTGGCAGAGTAGTCACTACACACACATGTCCAACCACCTAAAATATATGCAGCTCTCAGAAGGAAATATGTTCCATTCATAACGTCTGGAGGGCTTCAGAAAGGGAAAAGTGGATAGAAAAGAACTAAACATCCATTTTGCTGATGCTTCCAGTTACAGTCTGGGAAGATGTAGGAAAACTGATCTGTACTGCAAAAGAAAAGCCAGACCCATAAATTCCTGCATGTAAAGCAGCACCTGCAAGCCAAGCACACACACAACAACAGCAGCCACAAACATGCCAGCAGCTCACAACAGCATCAGAGTCTGAAACACCAGGGAGGTTTATAATTCCAAACCAAGCAGACTAAAGTGGTCAGACAGAGATCATGTGCTGTCTTGAGGGACAGCTGTAGGTGTCACCCCCATCTGAAATTGTCCTGCAATACCTACACAGTCTTTCTGGGAACAAAAAACAGAACTGGGAAAACAAGCTGAAATCAGAGTGAGAAAATGGTTGTGCCAGCAACATTAGCAGAAAACTACAGGAGGGGAAGCTGATAAGAGGATGGAGGTAACAGAAGCGAGGGCTGGCATTAGCAAGTGCTGCCATGACTGATACAAAGTCCCAAAAAGATTCTGCACCAAGGGATGAGAAACCTTTCAAATATTAAGGAATGCTACCAGCAAAGCTGCTAACTTCTTGCACAAAGACATGGCACACACCTTTATTTTGCAGTGCATGTTTAATCTTTTCAAAAAGAGACGAGGACAGAGATGAAGTTTGAACCTTGCTGTGATTAGAAATTCATGCTGTTTTCACAGTTGAGGTTTGCACTGGTACGGGTACTTTCTGCCAGTCCCTTACCAGCTGACGGAGATCTGAAATCATGACACACAGGTCCGTGTTCTTCTTCTCATAACCCATGAGCTGTTGATGGCACTCTGCCAGCTGTGTCTCAGTGTACTTTAGGATCTCAGGCAGCTTCTCCAGTTCAGAAAGCTGGTCCTGGAAGCTCTGACGAGCCTGTAATCAAAGAAGAGAAGGTGAGGAATTTTCAAATGTTGGTAAGATAAAGACTAAAAAATTTATCAACTTCAATGAAGCTTTGTTAGTCCACAACCATAATAACACTGTGTGGATATTTGGCCAGTGCTGGAGTTCAAAGCCTAAAGTCTTTTCCTGCTCCAAAAACATTTCACTTAGGATCTGGCATTCCCTATGGATGGTGTAGGAATGAGTACTCTGGATTGTGGGCTTCAATTTTACTAGAAGTACAAGCTCTGCTTTTGAGGTCAGCTGTTCCACATCAGATAATGGTGTAACCTACCTAATCCACCGTTCTAAACCACTGTTTCTTTAGCAAAGGACAGCAAAGGACTAAATAATTTATGCACCTCTGAAGAATGCCATATAGTCAAAAAGAAGCTGCTAAATGCTCATTCTGCAAGACTTATTGAACAAGTCCTGAGAAAAAAAATGATGCAAAAGGCAGAGTCAAGAAAACCTTTGATTTCCTATTCACAGCTATTTTTCACTAGATTCAGAACACTAAGATCCATGAATGTCTACAACATATCTTTAGAAGAATAGTTACCTCTTCAAGCTTCCTGTTCGTTTCTTCCCTTAATGTCTTGTTCTCTTTTTCACACTTCTCCAGTCTTGCTGCCAACTCATCTGCTTCCTTTCGGGCCTTCTGTGCCTGGACATTCAAAAAAAGACCCCAGACTTTATCTGTTATGTATAGTTTTCAACACATGTGTGCAATGCCTTGGAGTAATTGAAACTGCTCCAGCTGGTAAAAGCTAAGGCATGACAGAATAAGGCACAGTGGAAGGAGAAAACACCTTTGTGCAAGGGCTGAAGGTTCTGAGACCCACCTGTGCTGTGTAGCTTTCAATCAACCCTTCGTAGCTCCTGACAGAGTTCTGGAGTTGTTGCAATTCTAATTGTGCTTGGTTCAGCTTGTCCTCCATTGCATTCAGAGCAGACTGAAAAAAGAAAACATTTTCCATTGAGTGCTTGGAAGTACCTGCCATGTGAGGTGTTAAAGTTGTCTAGACTAAGAAAATACAGTTTTGTCCATGCAAGTTTTCAAAACTTTCCAGACTTCAGTAGTCTGCCAAATTTGCATCAGCAGAGCACAGAGGTTTGGAATGGAAAAAAAGATGTAGGTCACCCACAAGATCACTTCATGGTGAAGGACAACAGGAGAAATATGCCAGTCATTTTTTTGTCGTTTTTTCTGGAGATTACCATTCTCTCTGTATGAGCTATGACAGCTGTTTGTTCTCTGGTCAGCAGCATGAAGGTGAAAGGACAAGATTTAAGATCCCAGTAGATGAAACATCTAGTATCTAGTTGGAGATACTCCTAAGCAAAACATGGAAGAAACACAGCTCTCCCAGTATGTATACTTCCTCTGTCTCCTCCCAGCACACTGGCCCTGTCACAGTCAGATTTTAAGAACTTGTTTGAAACTGTATAGGAGCAATGGGTGCAATTTGACTCTGTCTTCAGTGGCCAAGCAAGTTGTTACAATTCAGCCTTCTTTTCCTCCTAGCATTCGATCTTCAAACCTTTAGAGTCACTGACCTTTAGTCTTTCATTATCTTTCCTCAAAGCACAGTTCTCTCCAGTCATTTGGTGCACTCTATCCATCAAAGCTTCGTTTTCGTCCCGTGTCTTCTCCTGGACCTTTGCCAGTTGTTCCACCAAGTCTGCAATACGGCTGCCACACAGAAAGAAAACTAATCCTTAAGTGACAAGAAAGAGTAAGGCTCCTAACCTTTGAAAACTAGCTACAGAAACAGGGCTTCTCCCTATCCTTTCATCTTCCTTCTCCAGTCATGTACGCACACCTCTCCGTTACTCTGTTCAACCACTTCCATCTTTTTACACCTCTTGGAAATTAACTGGAGCTGCCCCCTGGAGCTCAAATGAATTGTCTCAAAGATGCCCAAGATAAAGATATGCCTCTTTCAACTCATACCCACCTACCTTTCCCTGCAGCAGCAACTGTACTGCAGTGATACCAACACATTTATTTGCCTTCACTACAAAACTGCCATCAACTATACTGCTCATCTCTTTAATATCCTCCATTCCAGTTATTCAAAAATATCTCAAAACAAAAATAATCTTAATTCAAAGCATTACAAAATGTCAAAGGAGCAGTTTTAAGGGTCAGCAAACCTTAAAAGTCTGCCTTTGCTGTGGCAAGTCAGCAGCGGAAGTCACACGTCTCTCTCCACCTCTTCAAACTCTACTCTAGCCCTTAAGCAGTGCTGGTTTTGCTTGGTTATTTACAAGCAATCCAATTAAAATATCAATTTCAATGCTATTATTCAATTAAATTATCCTTGAACTTTGACTTCATCCCTACTCATGCTTCTTTCTCTGCACTGATTTTACTCTAACCTGTTCAGTGTAACGACTTCCAGTTCAAGGTCATCCTTGTCCTTCGTGACTTTGCTGCAGCGATTCCTCCAGCTCTCGATAGTGCTCCGGCACTCAGCAATACAGTTCTCCTGTCAGACAAGGGAAATACAAGAGGAAAAAAGTAAGGGAAAAGACAAAATCATCACTGGTGTGAGATACGCAGACAATACACAGAGATGCCCTTTACTTAAGACATGCTGTGAATACAGTGAGAGCTGAGCAAACTGGATTCGTTCTAAACTTGGCATAAATGGGCCATGGCATCAAGACAGAAATAAATTTCATTAGTCAAAAGAGACTCTCCCCAGGGCTGCTACCAGAAGCCAACAATTTAGAAGCATGACCTCAAACTAGGCCTCTCCTGTTTCAGCAGGTACCTTTTCTGCTAGCTGGGCAGTCAGTTTTTGCACATACTCCTCACTCCGCTCCGCTCGCTCTTTCTGTGCACGGACCGCTTTCTTCAGGGCATCTTTATCACCATCCATCTTGTTCTTCACATCGTTCAACTGTTCCATGGCAAGTTCCAGATCTTCCTTAAGCTGAGATTCACTCATCTCCACATTCTGCAGGGGAACAAAACCCACCATATAGATTAATGCCCTTATTACACCTGCAAACCCAAAGCAGCAACTAATGTCCTAGAAACGGTGAGAACTAGGCACAAATCCCCAGTGTTCAGCCTGGAGGTATTTGCAGTCAGGGTTCACCTACATGATCCTGTCTAAATGCTGAAAGAGATGGCAGCATAACATCTTCCTCTTCTTCCAAGAGTCTTGCTTTCTTCTTTCATAAGCTGCTTCCTAAAATATTAATTTCTCTCCTGACCAAAATAAATACTGTTTTAACAGTCTTTCGATCTACCTGAGAAAATTATTTTTATTGATGAAATGTTTGTGTATAATAATGTTGCTTTATGTAGCTCTTACTAAGACAGATTAAAGCTCCTTTAAACTATTAACACATTTCTGTTCCTTGTAATACGATCCCAACATATGCTAAATATAAAACTCTAATCAAAATAAACCAGGGGAACTTTCTCCTCCTCATTAATACTGCAGAACGGATGAACAAGGATGATTAAACTGGCACAGCATTTTTCAAAAAAAGCAAATGAAATAGTTCCAGTTTGTCTTGATGCTTGACTAAACCAAAGCCAACTTTTCAATAATTATGGTGTAACTAACTTAGGAAAAAGAAAATCTAATTAATGCACACAGACCTTAAGGCTAAGATTTTGCCTCATGCCTCAAAAGTCAGAAGATTTCTCTTCTCTTATTTAATTTGAGAATCATGCTGTGTATTAGTGGCATAAACATCACCAGCCAATATTTCAGTCAACCAGGCTTTGTAAAAAGCTTGTGCTATTCCCCTTGTGAGTGAATTCAGTCCATGGGAGCAAAGGAAGAGAGAATCCCCAGGGAGCAGTGCAGACATACCCGCAGCTGTGTGAGCAGGCGGTTGTTCTCAGCTTCTTTGCCTCGCAGCTGGGCTTGTAAATGGGCTTTCATTTGCTCCATAGCTCTGGAGAGCTCAATTGCTTTCTTTGACTGTTCCTAGATAAGCAGGAAAAAGACAAACATGGTTTTACTCAACAAGCTAATAGAAGGAACACTGTATAATATGCAGTAGTCATCTCAGATTTCTTCACTGAATGATCTCCAGCCACCTCCAGACAGACCCCCACAGCTCTTCTTGTGCAACAAAAAGAGACCAAATGAGCAGCGATTTATTTTACAACACATGTGAATGACTGGCAAAATCCTTCACATCTGATCTTTTCCACTGCATTTCCCCTTTACTTCCTAAACTAAGGAACAGATTGGAATTTGCCATTGGGAACCAAGAGGATCTTAAACAGAATGGCAATTCAGTGCCCAAGCAAAGAGAATTCTACCTTTCCATCTTTATGACAGGTATCTTATTAGCAGAATATGGAGCCCATAATGGTGTGGGAGTTGGTATCTGTCTAGATAAGAAAGCCAGTCATCTGATGTCAAAATAGCAGTCTGCAAACAACCTCATCTTTTGGACTGCGTGTGATTTTACAGAACTGGAAAGTAGAGAAGAGAGGGAAAAACAGAAAAACAATATTACCTTTTCTGCCACTATCTGAACTGTGAGGTTTTCCAGCTCTTTTTCTTTTCCTTGAAGCCTGATCTGAAGTTGCTGGAAAAACAAACACCATGCAGATGTTCAGTAACAAAGACATTTCGGACAGCAGGTAGAAGGCAAGTGGTGTAACTGCCTCCCTGTCATGACCACCTGATCTGTGGCATGGTATGTTATCCACAACAACAGCATCCTCATCCCCAGAAAAGCAGGCTGCATTCTACTCAAGCAGGAAGCAAAAGGGATACACACACATTTGTGCAACAGGGCACAGGATACCCAGTCAGGACCATACATACTCTACAGACTAAAAAGGGCATTTACCTATGTCTCACAGCAATGTTTTATGACTTCTGGCAATACAAGAACTCTTGTCTCAGTTTACAGAGCAGGAAATGAACAAAAACTGGGACAAGGTAACTCATTCAGTGACAGAGCCCAATACACAGAGTTATCCCCAATCTAAGCCCGCATTATTTCAAAGGCAGTGAAAATCTACTCACTTTGAAACGCAGGTGGCTTTGATTACCACAAAAGCTAAAATATTTTTAAAATTGATCTAAAAGGCACTAGAGTAAGATTTGACAGCAGAGTATAAGACAAAGAAGGGCTTGTCATTTTAGATCTTTCTGCTGTATCATTAAAGAGACGAGAGATTGTGGTTTGCTTACCATGTTCTCTGCATCTGTGTCAGCCATCCTTTTCAGCAGTAATGCTTGCCGATCCAGTACCTTCTGGGCATCTTTCTACAAAATAAATGCATAGGAAAAATTGTTAACTAAAAAGTCAATTTTATACAGGTTCTTTAAATGGAACTGGGAAAATCAACTATTTCCTCCCAGTTGCAGCAGCAATTCTTAGAAGATATAGAGAAACATCACATTTGCTAAATATTTCACATGTCATTATCCATCTCAGAAAGTTTTTCCACTTCCCAGTCAAAGTTACAGGATGGCAATGTAAGATCATTCTGAACTCTCCCACTACTCAGGGAAAGTCATGTGGAAGAATTCAGACCTTTTATTCAGCCTCACTGGTGGCTGAAGTAACTGCAACCATCAGCTTGCTTCTGCTGAAATGGAATATAAACTACAGAAAGAACAGAAATTTCATTTTTTATTGCTCTTACAAGCAATAGAGAATTGTTCTGTACGTGCAGCACAGAATTGTTTCCAATTTCTCTGTTGTTGCCTTCAGAGCCTACAAAATCAAACTTCTGAATATCCATAGGCTCCCATTAGCTGAGGCTGTATCAAGTCCTCAGGCTCCAGCAATTCAAGTGCAGCAGCAGTGTTTGAGACCAGCAGGACCAGCTAATACAGCCTGATCCAGAGGAGACAGCTGGCAACATAGCAGTGCCTGAATCTTTTAATGCAGTCAAAGACTTAGAGGCTCTACAATCCTCAGATCAGAAAAAACAGTATTACTCTATGAATTAGGCAGAGATAAAGAAAAAATCCTAAATAAAAACTATCCAACATTTATGGGCTGACAGGGTATACTGCAGGGCTAGGAGAAAGAGTTGAAAGATTTCAAGCTCAAAAAATTCCCTACCAGCCCATGAGACAACACAGCCTCCTGGAATCAGCCAGGTTCCACACCCAGCAGTTCTCACCTCCCGGCACTGCTGCTCTGCAAGAAGCTCACGGAGTGTCCGGTTGGTTTCTTCAAAGGTGCTCAATTTCTGGAGTAGAAGCTCTTTTTGTCTTGTTAGAGCATTTATATCTGTGCTGCTCATGTGTTTCTCCTGAAGGAAGAACATTAAAGAAACAAACAAACAATAAACAAAGAAATGAGGAAAAATAAAACACAACTCAAACAAACAAAACCCACAAAACATAAACAAAAGGAAAGAATTTTTCATTTGTGTGCAGAAAGTAACTGGAAGTAAATACCCCACTTTAAAACCAAACTAGCAAACACCTAAAGAATGTTAAATCCCTCCACCTTTCCTGAGGTTTTGCTGGATTAGCAACTATAACATTACTTTTTTAAGAGAGTCATACAACAGGGCAATGTAGTAAAGGCAAGAACAAAAACGGGCACCTACAATGTTGAGTCTCCCAATCGTATTTTTCAGGGCATTGATCTGTCTGGCAGCTGCTGCTCCATCCCTTTCAGCTTCATTCAGCTTGGTCATCAAACACTCCTTCTCCTGCTGCAAGCATTCCTTCTGTAGCCTGCAAAGAGAATTCAGCCATCAGAGAAACAAGAAGCTTTGGCAGTTGTACCAGCCACTATTGATACACAGTTGATTGGGTGAAAATTCATAAAAAGCCCAAATCAGAGGATAAAAGCTCTAAACCAAAAACTGCTTAAGATTTACCCTCTTTCAGTGTGGAAGCTGTTTTGAGACAAAGCAGTAAGCAGACACCAGGAGCTTGCTAAGATCACAGCTATGAAATTTAGAGGGGACAAATCAGGCTTATACCAAAACTGCACACACTGCTAAACCCAAAACACAATGCTGTGCTTTTCCTGGGCACTTATGCCACACTAGAAATAAGACTCCAAATGGCCAAAAAAACCCAGAAAAGCACACCAAGATGTAGCTCAATGTTTTTAGCCAGCACTTGTAATCTCAGAAGCATTCACAGAATTTTCTGAAAAAGGAATAGGAAGTATTAATTCACAAGTGATCTTTCTTAAGGAAAAAGTAAAACTCCCCTAAAACACTAATGTCCCCCTGGAGACACAAACTTCACTGTTTCTTTCGATACAAAGCAGATGCAAAAATGCCAGACTTGCAGACCGTCAGGATCACTAAGAAAAAAGTGCATGGTTCAGTCCTCTCAGGGGCTGTCACTCCTGGCTCTGTATGATTTTTATAAAGGTCAAAAATTCTCCTCTAGTTTTCAGCTCCATGTTTGTTCATTTATTATTCTATCAATATTATCACAATTCAAGTAGAATCCCTTAACCTTCAAAATACTAATTGCAGAGCTAGGCTGACCCTCCACACAAGCCAACTGAGGTTCCTCTCAAAGTGGGCTTTTTTTTTCCTTTCCAAAAATCATGCTAGAGCCTTTCTCTGCAGCTACTCCAATCTGGAGTCTCCCTTCTAAAAGTGGGGACAAAAAATCCGAGTGCATCAGTGCAGCTGCAGCAGCAGCTACAACCTTAAATCATGTCAGCAATAAAGGAGGAAGGTGCCAGTGGCTACCACTAGAGCAGGAACAGTGAGAAGTGAAATCTTCTTACACAGTCAGGTCCTTCTCCTCCTTTATGCGTTCGATGTTGCGCCGCAGCCGCGTGTTCTCATTCTCTGTTTCTACCAGCTCCTGTGTGACCTCATTCAGTTCTTCTTTCTGCTCCTCCAGGAGGCGCTTTGTCATTTCCTCCTGTTCCTCCATTTGCTGCATCTTGACCTGAAGATTTTGGAATAAAACTTAAACCAGGGGCTTTGGAAGTGATACACAGAATCCAAATCCCAAATTAGTGAACCATTCAGAGTCAATTAACTTATTGAAAGTATTAAAAAAAATGAAGTATCTCCTCCTAGGTGACAAGTGACAGGACATGAGGAAATGGCCTCAAGCTGTGTTGGGATATTCAGGTTGGACATCAGGAGAAATTTCTTCACGGAAAGGGTTGTCAGGTATTGGAGAGGGCTGCCCAAGGAGGTGGTGGAATTACCATCCCTGGAGGTGTTCAAGGAACAACTGGACACAGTACTCAGTGCTCTGGTTTATTTAACAAGGTGGTGATGGATTGAAGGTTGGATTCAATGATCTTGGAAGTCTTTTCCAACCTTTAACAAGTCCAAGTTCCAAGTCCTTCACTTTGGCCACAACAACCCCCTGCAGTGCAACAGGCTGGGGGCAGAGTGGCTGGACAGTGCCCAGGCAGGAAGGGACCTGGGGGTACTGGTTGACAGCCGACTGAACATGAGCCAGCAGTGTACTCTGGTGGCCAAGAAGGCCAACAGCATCCTGGCCTGGATCAGGAATAGTGTGGCTAGCAGGACCAGGGAGGTCATTCTTTCCCTGTACTCAGCACTGCTTGAATGCTGTGTCCAGTTCTAGGCCCCTCAGTTTAGGAAGGATGTCAAAATGCTCAAACACATCCAAAGGAGAGCAACAAGGCTGGTGAAGGGCCTGGAACACAAACTCTGTGAGGAACAGTTGAGGGAGCTGGAGTTGTTTAGCCTGGAGGAAAGGAGGCTCAGGGGAGACCTCATCACTTGCTACAGCTTCCTGAAAGGTGGGAGTCAGTCTCTTCTCCCAGGTAACCACTGACAGTACTAGAGGACATAGCCTTAAGCTGCTCCAGGGGAAGTTTAGGTTAGACATCAGGAAAAAATTATTCACTGAAAGAGTGACTGGGCACTGGAATCACCTGCCCAGGGAGATGGTGGGGTCACCGTCCCTGGACGTATTTAAAAAAAGACTGGACGTGACATTCAGTGCCATGGTTTAGTTGATGAGGAGGTGTTAAGGTCATAGGCTGGATCTGGTGATCTCAAAGGTCTTTCCAACCTAGTTCATTCTGTGATTCTCAATGATTCTGTGGTTCTAAAGTTGATTTTTGTTTTATAACCATGCATGTAATTCCATTAAATTTTGTAGCACAAATAAAATGGAAAATGTTGATATAAGAATCTACTTGACTCAAATCCTATTCTTGTTCACTGATTTGACATCCATGTAGTTTTGAGTAAAATAATAATATAAGATTTGCTACTCTGAGTGTTAACCTGATGTTAAAAATGCAGTTACCCCCACCATGACGCTTCTTATGAAACCTGGGAACATCTCCCATGTATTTTTAAAGCGGTGTCAAGTACATAAGAGCCTATTTATCTGGAAAACACAACATCGCTGGGTTGCACATTTTTCAAACTGAATCAGAAAAAACAATATCATTGAATAAGGGGACTTTTTTGACAACAAAACATCAATGCATTGTATTTTTCACTTTCTGGAGTCATCAGTTTTCAGATTTTGGGCATGGGCAGGAGAAATTATTTGGAAATTAAAGCACAGCAATACCTTATTAAATAAATAATATTTTGAAATGTTTCACAGTGTGGCTTAGTGAATTTCTCACCAGGATAGTTCAGCTTTTCTAAACAATTCAGATTGATTTTCAAGCAAGCTACCAAGAGCCTGGGTAGCTTTCCATTGCACCAAGACCTGCCTCCAGCTTCCTCTTGTCAAAGGAACAGCTACAAGGCCCCAGTCAGCAGGTCTTTCCACTGTCTCCTCACCTCTTTCTTCAGTGTTCCCACCATATTCATTAGGCTATCTATCTTCTTTTCATATTTGTTAATTTTGCAGCAAGTGGGATCATCATCCTCGGTGGAGAGGTCACTGAGGCGCAGAACCGACTGCATCCTGTCTGACTCGGTTTTAGGTGTAGATTCAAGGTGGTCAGTTGATTCCTGCCAGAGAATAAAGTGTATAACTTTTTTAGTATAACATTATAAATAGTATTCTAAAGCTAACATTGCCAAAAAAACAGAGGCTGGGTCACATCACTGCAGCAAGGCTAGCAAAGAAAAAAAACATTTACAAATGGCTTGTCCATTCCCATTGGGGAAAGGTCAATAATGCAGAAAGAGTACAACGAAAAAGAAGAAAAACTAATCGAAGCTCAAATCCTCATCTCGGACGTGCCAGGAATGCAACATGCAAAACTATCAACTCATGACAAAGAAAATATGACACAATGGTACACAAGTGCTCCATGCTTCGGAAAAGACTTAGAACAGCAGTCCCTCGCTGAGCTTCCAGATGAGATCTTGAAGGGCATAGTAAAATGACAAGAAACAAATGTATCTGGCTTTCAGAGAAGACAGAAAGGCATGGCCACAGGCTGCTCATGAATTCTCCGTTTTTCTATATCAAAAAGTGAAAAAGATTTATAGAAGACACTTCAAATAGATGGCAGGTGACAGTAGCCTTCTTTCAGACCTGCCCAACTCTCTCAATACACAACTGCTCTCTTCAACCTCAGCTAAACCTCAAAGTTGGTTTTAAAGAGCCAAACCAGTTGTACCTCCCATTTCAAGATGGTATCACGGGTACTTGTTTTGCCTGGGGGTATCCAAGGGGCCTTAGTTTTCACCCGCACAGCTCGCACACCATCCCCTTTTGATTTCTGTTTCTGCTTTTGCTGAAGAAAGAGAAAATAAAATAAATTACAGACCCTTAAAGAATCATCCGCAATTTTTAGCACTGCAAAACCAAATGAAAGATCATTCATACGGAAGGAGTGTTTCACAGGATGCATCAGGTGAGATGAGGTAGCAGCCACCAAAGGAAGCTGACATCAGCCATAAGGAAAGGCTATTGCACACTCAGCTGACAGGATGGCTGGATGCAGGACCTGACAGATCCCTGGGAGATCCCTTCTCCATCCCAGATTCACCTCACAAAAATGTAGCTATACCATCTGACACTGTGATTGATTTTGGAAAGCCTTGGAAGTGTTTTTCCTACTCTGCAGTCAACTACAAGATCCACCTTTACTTGTATTGAAGTTGAGCTGCTCTAACTGAAGGAGAGTTAAAGTTGTTTTGCACAATTCTAGCCTTAGAGAAAAATCAGATGCTGTAAACACTCCCTACTGCAATTAATTAATAGGATTCATTATTTTCACAGTCATTCCATCCCATTATGAAATTTGCCATTAGCAACAAACATAGAATTAATACAAGACTTAGAACAGGATGTCTGCAGATAAGGACGAATGAGATAGCAACTTCCATCAACTTTTTAGGACAATTTTCCAAAAATATCCACAACAAAAGAGGATAGGGAATAACTAGAACCTTAGCTTCAGTTTTGCCTTGTGCCTCCTGTGGATAAGGCTGGGAAGAAATCTTCTTTGCTGCAGTGCTCAATGGACAGAGAATGTCCTTAATGTCAGAAGATGGTTTGAATCAAGATTCTTTCTCTAAGCACATTTATTTAACACCTAAGTACTACCTCTCCTCAAAGCTTTCCTCCAAAAACAGATATGAAGCCAAACATAAAACATTATCAGGACATAGATCCAAGAAATAAAAGAGAAAAACATCCTCCAAACGATATCACATTGGAAGCAACATTTCTCACATGAACATGAAAAGCGATTCTGTATCATACCAAAATAATCTTTCAACAAATCAACATAGCAAATGTGTCACTGCAAATTCACCATTGAATATGAAATGAAGTCTCACAGCTCTAACACAACAGCAGAACAGATCTGGAAGATTTTCTGACGTTTCTAGGGCCATTCACCTTCCTCTCTGCAGCCCTTACAACAAACCAGGTACACACTCCTACCTGGCATTTTGCAGGTGTGGTTTTCTGCCCCTTTTTAATATGGACATGGACGGGGGTGTTTTCATCCACATGGACGTGCAAAGGGGGAGATGAGGAACGGTTCTTCATGGCTCTTCTCCCACAAATGGGAAAGGGAAATACAGTGAGGGGAAACCTGTGAATAAGGAAACTGGAAATAACATTTTCTTCAGAGTTCAGAGAGGAGCAGTGGCCAGCCTTGGTTAACATTTGTGCTTTTTATCAGTAGCATCTGCTATTTTGAGCTGCACACTATTGTTCTGTAAAGCCAGGACTAACACAAACAATTCCTCTGCTTCCAGTATTTTCTGCTTTTAACCTGGTTATTGAAGATCAAACGCAGCTGGATTGATAGTAGGCGTCTGTAAAAATCATTGAAGTTCAAAGTCATAAAGCAAGTAAGCAAATCAAGAGTTCCCATAACCAACAAAATCTGATTACAAAGAGAAATTTGGAGCAGGGAGAAGAGGAGAATTAATTTAACAGTTAAGAAAAACCATCAGGAAATCATCAGATCACTCCATCCTAGAACCTTGAACCTGTATGCTCCTTCATTTGTGCTTAATTTTGAGTGTCTTTTTAAAGCATAAATCCTTAAAAGCCGTTGCATCACAGCATTTCTTTAATCTTCACAGAAACACATAACCATAACCTGACACAACACAGAAAAGCTTAGAGACAGAAGGTTCAAGTCATCATCTTGGAGCTTGATGCCTCCTCAGTTGATGTAAAGGCATAATGCAATTGCAAATCTTACACAAAGCCTCCAGTAGTGCTAATTTGATTCTGGCAGAAAGGATATTGTCAGCCTAGGTAAAGTTACTTACAGCTACTTTCACGCTTTTGACTTTTCTGGACACGATCTTGGGGGAAGAGGTAGCTTCTTCGTTGATGGATGAGATACACCTGATACAGAAATAATAAAATTATTAAGAGGAAAAGGTACCAATTTCTAAACATTATCTTCCTTTTGATTGACGGGAATACCATAGCTCAAACATATCAAGTACATGAACCCAAACAACAAAACTTGGTGTGCCCTAGCTTCTCTGTAAAGCACGGGATGAAGGAAGGACAGAGACTCTAATTCCTAACATGCTGACAATGGCAATTGTTTTAAACAGTGTAAATGCTCTGTATAATTACATGATGGCACTATTCACTCACAGACTTTCAAATTCTAGCTGCAATTTTTAAGGAACACAGCAGTACTTCCTTTAATTCAGGAAGAGGAAGACACAGCTTTCTGAAGGAACAGGATTCTTCAGTTCCAGCTATGAACAACACTGCTGGGTATTTTAATCATCTTTTTTCCAAGGTAGGGCTAAAGTCTCCCCGGGCCCAGCACTGACAAAGCTTTCGAATCACCACGAGTGACAACCAAACGCTGTCACCGCGCCTCCCTTAGCAACAAGACTCACTCGTAAGTTTTAATTCCTCCTGCAATCTCTGAAGGTTTTTCAAGGAAACTGGCCACCTCAGGCTGGCAGAGAGGCGGCCAGGGGGCCGTGTGCTGCCCGCAGCTCTGAGGGCAGGGCAGGCCTTCACCCAGCGGGGCCCGGCAACTCCCAACGCCCGCCCGCCCGCGCCGCGCCGTTATCCCCAGCGCCACGGCTCCCGCTGACCTCCCAGCAGGGAGGACCCCGAAAAGCAGGGAGGAAGAAGTAATGCCGGGGCTCGGACACTCACACGGCGAGGGGACACCCCACAGGGCGAGGCTCCCCTACCCCGCCCTCCGCGGGCCCGGCGCTCTCACCAGTTGGTTCCGCGCGGGGTCCGCAGCCACTTCAGCTCCCCATCGGCGCGGCGGGCGGGGCACGGGCGAGCATGAACTGAACACGGAGGCTGACTCCCGCACCACGGACAACAGGCGCGGCCGCAAGGACCGGGCCGTCGCCGCCGCCGCGCCGCCCGCGGCTCCACCATTGGGCGATTCGAACGGGCCTGAGCGGCGGTAACCGCCCCCGGTAACCGCCCGCGGCTCCATGCGGCCGGCGCGAGCGGCGGCCCGGGGCACGGGAGCGCCCGGCCGCGCACAGGCCAGCACGGGGCCCTCAGGAACGGCTGCTGCTCCGCACAGAAATGGGGAGGGCCGAAGAGAGGGGGGAATAACTGGATTATTGAGTAAATTTTCTTGGCGTTGCCTTTGAGATGAGTTTTAGCGTCTAAAAGGTGACACAAGAACTGTGTACACAGTCACTTTTACTGTAAACTGTTAACCAGAATTGTATGTAGGTCTGGCTGTCCCCAACATAAGGGCATGGACATGTTGGAGGAGACCACAAAGAAGTCGATAAGGGAACTGAAGCACCTTCCCTATGAACACAGGCTGAGAGTTGGGGCTGTTCAGTCTGGAAAAGAGAAAGGCTGTGTGGAAACCTCAGAGCACCTTCCAGGACCTGAAGGGGGCTACAGGAAAGCCAGTGAGGGACTCTTCATCAGGAACTTTAGTGAGAGGATGAGGTGAAAATTGAGAGGGGAAATTTCAGTTAGGTATTAGGGTATTATCTCACCACCCCGTGAGGGTGGTGAGACACTAGCACAGGTTGCCCAGGGAGGTTGTGGATGCCCCAACCCTGGCAGTGCTCAAAGCCAGGTTGGATAAGGCCTTTGAGAACCTGGTCTGGTGGGAGATGTCTTTGCCCATGGCAGGCTGGAAGTAGATGATCTTTAAGGTCCATTCCAATCCCTTAACATTCTAAGCCTCTATAAAAGGTGATACAAAATCCTGAAACAATCTTTATTTAATGTATTATTATTGGCATGTTAGTGTTATGGATATTCATCTTGAGAGGACTGATTCATGTAACACAGCACAGCAAGGAGAAGTGGAGTCACTGAGCCCTTGGTGCTTCAGATCCTCATTTAACACAAAAATCTCTTCCTCCCCCTCGAGTTGAGGTGGATGCTGAAATTATTCAACCTCCTGTTTATGCATGCGCAATATAATTCTTTTAAAGAATATTGCCTGTCGATATTGTGGAACACAAGTTTCAGTACAGAAGCGTTTAAAGAAATACAAGTCAGAGCAGCCACACAGCCATTTGTACTGCAAACATTTTCTTTCTCCCTTCAATGTCAGATCATAACTTAATTTGGAACTAGTCTTCCATTCAGAAAAAACCCAAACCTCTATAAACGCCACTGTTAAAACCAATAAAGGTACTCCCCTTGAACACACACTGGGCAAGCAGTTGTATTACAGACCAACTTCAACTGCACCTGAAATATCACAACAAATCAAATTCCCTGAAACCTGCCTATTCTTCCAGGGAAACAGAACTTGATCAAGGTGGTAATTAAGGAATCTGAAGCCTCGGGCTGTGCAGAGGATCACTCACATTTGAACCTGCATTGTCTCTCGCTATGACAAATACTGTTTCTGCAGCTAGAGAGGGACTTTGACAAGGGGCAGTGGTTTCCCACTGACAGAGAGCAGGGTTACCTAGGATGTTACAAAATTCTTCCCTGAGTATGGGGAGGCCCTGGCACAGCTTGCCCAGAGAACCTGTGGCTGCCCCTGGATCCCTGGAAGTGTCCAAGGTCAGGCTGGACAGGGCTTGGAGCAACCTGGTCTAATGGAAGTGTCCCTTGTGTTCCAACACAAACCATTCTATGATTCTACCCAGCACAGCTCAGAAGATTTAGCTGCAGGTACAGCTCCTAATCTGACTGCCACATCAGCAAATCCTTTGTTACTCTTGCATGACAGAAACATCTAGCGATCCCCTGGCCTTGCAGATGGCTCTTAAGCCTTCTTTTCTTAAAACTGATCTTGAGGGATATTCCAGATAGATCTCATGCAAGACAAGCCTTTCCAATAACTGCTCTGCATTTGTGATTTCAGTGTAGGCCATGATCTTTGGGTGTAAAGGGTAAGGTAAGGACTCAGATCTCACACAGGGGACAGAATAAAGCCAGCCTTTATCCTTGCAGACTGTACAGAATCAAGTCCTGAGAGAACCGTTTACATGGAAGAGTGAAAGCAGATGCCCTGCCAAGCGCAGCCTCGCTGCTGTCAGAGGAAGAGTGCTGTCTCTAGCGCTGCAGATTCCTCCAGTTCCCTTAGCATTAGGTTTACAAGATTCTATTGCAGGAAATATTGTCACTTAAAAAACAGTATCCAGTGTCTCAGTCAGGAAAACACTTCAGGTGACATGGATGAGTAGCAGAAGACAGCCTGAGGCAAAAGCTGGTCAGGCCTACCACATGTGACACAGCCATAACACCAGCCAAGAACAGTTGCTTTTACAGTAACCTGTTCTGAGGATGTCTCTTCTCTGAAAGAAGCCTTTTTGCTGCATTCTTCAGTTCAGAGCATCTCCTTTCCAGCAGAATCCAAGATCCCTTTCTTTTACCTGTCCCCATCCTTCTATAAACCCCCAACTGGACCATTCTCTCACAGCGACTTGATGTTCTCAACAGGGTGGTCTCTGTGCCCACAAGTCAGTTCATTAGGTGTGACCAGTCAACTCTAAAAAGCCGTTTCTTCTGAAGTTTTCACCATGCAAGTACTTCAGGGAGGCAGCTGCAGCTGGCATCAGATTGCAACTCCAGTTTTCTGAATGACTTCTTCCATGCGCTGGTACCAAGGTTGAATATTGGTGTGAACCATCATGTCATCAAAGGCTTCCAGCCCTTCCATGACCCGCAGTACCCCGTACACTGCCTGTGCAGAGCAGAGAGGTGAGAACAACACTGAAAAAGCAGTGGAGAACAGCTTAGGGTACAAGTGTCTCAATAGCCAAGCCAGTATGGCTCTTCCCCTGCCCTGCCATCTGATCCATCCTTGTGATTAGCAAGAGTGAATGGCAGGAAGGTAATTAAGAATATGCATGTTTTTCCATGAGGAAACAGTAAGGAAGGATCAGGATCTATGTGCAGTTACGGGGAAGTCCCCACCACTCGGGAACTGTATTATTGACTGCACAAAGGACAATGTATCTCATGTAGCTCAACTTCTCTGCTTGTACTTGTAGTAACCATTTCACAGAGATGAGCAGCAGGATAATTTGTGATCCACCTGACAATAACTGCAGAGATGAAGCCCTTACCAGGTCAGCGAGGTTTGGCTGGTTCCCGCCCATGAACAGTCGATTTTTGCCAACAGCTTTTACCCACTCGTTTACTGCTTCATACAAATCTTCTCGGACATCATCTCGAAGCTGGTGTCTGGATAAAGAGAAGAATCAGTTTGCAGACCCAAGTTTGTTTCTTTCCTAAACATTCTATCACCCCTCACTTTATGGGCTGGTTTTGGTTTGCAAGTAAGGACAGTATTTCAGAGTGAAGGGGCAGTGAGTAATTAAATAGTGGATGAGTAGAGGGGATCAGTACCTCCAGTTAAGGAAGTACAGTTGTTACTCATACAGGATTAAATGGTTCAGTTCAAAACTCTGAGGTTCTGCCCTTTGACAGCTGGGGTTCACAGCTAAGGAGAAGCTATTTCTCATCTTGTGTACTTGTTGCTTAGTGATACCAACCTCTTCTTAAGCCTCTTGCTAACGAAGAACATGGCAAGAGCCCCCACGTATTTGGCAAAGAGACCTTCCAAGGTGCCAAACTTCCCCTCACGGACAATGTAATCAAAAGATGCCAAGGCTTCTTTGGGGGTGCGGTAAACATTGGGGGAGATGAGGTGAACAAGCCAATCATCTGCCCATTTTCTCCACTTCATTTCTTCCCTGCAAGCAGTCAAAGGAAAGTTTTCAGTGAATGAGGTACAGACAGAAGGGCTACAGGAGGCAGGATCACAGCAGCCTTAGCCAGAGATCCTTCCAAGGCCAAACAATCCTAGCCAGATACGCTGGTGACCTTCCTTAAATGCACTCAGCATTGTTATCTTTGGCAAGGCTCCTCCAATCTCAAACTGAATCTAAGACTAAGATAGAGCATTAGGTCCTCTGCCTAACAGGAGAAATAAAGCAGGAAGGGAAACTCTCCCTCAACAGCATTCCTCTGTGGCACATAGGAAAGGCCAAGAAGGAAACTGGAGGCAGCTGAAGGCCTGTGTGACCATGGTGGTGGTAACTAGGCTGTCTAACAGCTTTGTTTTGAATTATCTAACAAACACAGCAAACCAACTAATGAGGCTTGAAACACTAACAGGGGTGTGACAAGACTTGTCAGCCCTAGTGGGATTTTACGTCTACGTCAACCCTGAGTACATATGGAGGGGGCTGTGACTGTACTTGGAGAGCCCAGAAACTGAAGAGCACTTACACTCTCACTTCTTTGACAGGATAGACTCTCTTTGTCTCCTTCTCATCCAGCATGAGCCAGTATTTATTCTCATACTCAAGCACCTCCTTGCCTTGCTCAGTCACTGTTTTAATAGGTGGATAAAAGGACACGATTTCTTCTAAGCTATTCCTCCTGTGAAAAGAAACAGCACAGATCTGGCTGCTACAAAGAAGGAGCAAGAGCAAATGACAGATTGAAAGATACACACTATAAAATGTATTATTCTGAAAGTAAGAGCACAATGTTCCAGATTCTATTTGAAAAAAAAAAAAAAAAAAGCCAGACTGGAACAGCTACTTGCAAATAACTATTATTAATGCACATACCTTTGTCCATGACAGAACAGAAATTTCTGCAGGCATAAAACTTCCTACCATTCTCAAGTAGACCTAAAGGACAGGCCATAGGCACAAAAATGCCATTTCATTCCAGACGTTATAAGTGGCTAATTGTAAGCTCAGTTCAAGGACTAACACTAGTCCATGTTTAAGCAGGTTTTGTGCAAACAGAATCTCACAGATGAGAAAGTTCTTCTGAAAGGTACAAGCTTTGCTTTACATCACACACATCACAACACATATAGGCACCATCCATATTATCACAGCCAGGCTCAGTTCACCCAGAGCTTCAGAGCCTGAGATCAGCACACCCAGAGTCTTCTAAATCTCTGCTTAACCTGGGCCCTCCACATTCAACTCTTCTCTCATCACCCTGTTTTCTTACCTGGAAATTAGATAGGTCTTTATTGCACTAATTATCACCGAGGAGTCGTTCAATTGCTGAAAAACAGGATTAAAACAACCTTTTAAAAGTAGCTGGTTAAATTGAAAAAGAAATTCTTCAAAACCTTTTCCCCTGCATGCTGACACTCCAAGTCAGGGAGACTTACCAGAGGGCTCCCAGCATTGGCTAGCAGGATGGGCACCTTTCTGTAGGAAGAGAATTTGATCTCTTTCCTCATGATAGGGTTCACTTCCACAATTTCATAGGGTAGCCCATGATAATCAAGAAAAGCTCGGACTTTACTGCAGAAAGGACATGTTTTATACTGGTAGAGAGTGAGCTGCAGGCTCCCTGAAGGCAGCTGGGGAAGAAAGAGAAAAGATTCCATTTTCAGCTAAAACATAAAACACTACCTTCCTTCCACCCTTATTTTTGTCATGAAGTCATAGTCACTGACATTCAGTGGCAACATCTGATCATGAGCATATCTTGGCTATCAGATGCTTTCTTTAAATGGCATCAAATATTTAAATATTCACCATCCATTGCGATCAATAACCTGTTCCTCTAAATATTTATTTAATGTGCTGGAAACTCCTATTCACAGCCAGGAAAAAAAAACGTTAAATCCAGACAGTTTACCCTTTTATAGTTTCTATTCTGTAAAACGGAATTCTATAGAATAACACAACTATTTGCAATAGTATTCCAATAAACACAAATAAAGCCTTTACAAGCCAATCCCTCCCCCACCACAGCCTCTGTTGAGGCCACAAAGTGGGGAGAGCAGAGTTTGCATTTGATTTTAGGCACGTGTCTGCCCAAGCTCACATTCCTGGGATTAACCAGCCTGGGCACAACTGGGACAAGGCAGGGAGAGCCCAGGGCCACCGGGCCACCAGTTACGGAATGTTTCGCAAAGCTGCTACACCTCAGCAGCCTGACAGGGCCTGCCAATCATTCCTCACACATTAAAAAACAAATGCAGCCACCCCACTTTGTTTCTCATTTACAGTTTACTGGGTTACACAACCCTGCGCGGGTGCGGCGAAAAAGCAACAACAGAAAAGGCTCCACACCCCCAGGAAGCCCCTCAATGACAGCCTTTCCTTACAGCTGCTTAAGGAATGCTCTGCCACGGGCCTCCCAGACCGTTTTAAGCTCTTCCCTCACTCAAACCGGGGCAGAAGGAGCCGCTCGGTCCGTGGGGAACCGCTGTCCCCGGGGGCTCGCAGCGAGGTCCCCGCAGGCCTCGGGGAGGGCACGGCGGGGATCAGGGGGAGCCGCCCCCGGCGTTACCTCAGCGGCCGAGTGCTCCCGCAGGCGCTGCCGCGCCGCCAGGCACAGCCCGGCGCTGCCGCCCAGCGCGAAAGCAGCGCCCAGCACCAGGCGGCCGCCGCCGCCGCCGCCTCCCCGTCCCGCCGCGGTGCTGAAGGCTCGTCCCGGGGCCCGCAGCCGCCAGGCTGGCGGCAGCAGCAGCGCTCCGACCCGCCACACTCGGCCGGCACCCGCCATCTTCGGCTGAGGGCGGGCGGAGCGGAGAGCGGCCGCTCCGCCCCGGGCACGGCGGCACCGCCCCGGCACGGCCCCGGCCCCGGCCCGCCGCTCGGGCATGGCAGCGCCGCGCCCCGCGGAGGGCAGGACCCGCACGGGACACACCGCACGGACACTCCACAGCGGACACCCAACAAGGGGCGGACCCGCTGCCCTGTAATTATCTAATCTGAGAACGCACCACAGTCTAAAGTGGGAATAAAATAATCGGTTGGAAGGGTGAGGGACCTGGGCCTGTTCAGCCGCGAGAAAAGGCAGCTGAGGGGGGGCTTCATGATGTCTGTCAGTGTCTGCAGACAGGGGACAGAGGATGGATCAGGCCGTAGTGCCGAGCAATAGAACAAGAGGAGCAGCCAGGAACTGACGCAAAGTTCCACCTGAACGCGAGGGAAATTTTCTTTCCTGTGCAGTGACTGAGCCCTGAGCAGATTGCCCAGAGATGTTTTGGAGTCTCCCTCACTGGAGGTATTCCAGAACCGTCTGGACACAATCCTGTGCCTTGTGCGCTGGGATGACCCTGCTTGAGCAGGAAGGTGAGACCAGATGAGCCACGGTGATCCTTTCCAACCTGACCCATTCTGGGATTCTGTGGGGCTGTGTATTCTGACCAGCACATATCCCCAGTGCAAGCGTACATCTCCACATTGGAAGTCATCAACTGTTTTGTCAATTAATTATACTTATATTCAGTTTCCCTATTTGGGGTGCAACATGAGCCTGACTGCAGCGCAGCAGGGTTATTACCCACAGAAAGGAGAGGTGGCTGCAATGTTAAATGAGGATATGACCTTTTCTTTCGTCTTTGTCCCAAATACCCACTTAAAAACGGAGCCCTTGATATCAGGAGTGCTGCTTGAATTAATGCTCTAATTGTGGGTTATTTTCATCCCAGTGACTTTTCTCCCGGGGATGAAAACACCACGCAATGATGAGATCTCCTCAAGGTGACTGAGGTGCGGCTGATACCCGGCCAAAGACAGGGAAGGGCAAAGTGAATCGTGCTTGTTGCTGCACGGAAGAAGAGTGTGAAGGTGACCTGAGGCTGGTTCAAGCCGCTTAGTGGACGAAGCAGAGCTGGTGACAGGGCTGGAGTTGGGAGTTCAGCAGCAAATCTGGGACGGGATGGCCCGCACAGACAGGATGCAGATTCGTCCATACGGAGCATCACTTGTGCTGGGAAAGAACCGCTTAGTGATGATGGCGGCCCCTAAGCGGGGGAGTCTGGGAGGACCTGAGGACACTCGGGGAGGGCAAGGACACAGCCTAGCGCTGGAAAAAATTCCCGAGGAAAGGAGAACGTGACTCTGACCCCCGGGGGCCGCCCCCTGCCCAGCGCTGCTCGCCGCGCCCGCCCGCGCGCCTGCGCCCCGCGGCCCCGGCGCAAACCACAGAGTTCGCCGCAGCGCCGGCCTGCGTGACGCGCACGGCGCTCTGCCCTCCCATTGGCTGGAGGCCCCGCGCGTGCACGGGCGCGCCGTGCGGGGGACGCTGAGGCGCGGGCGGGCGCGGCGGGATGTCGGGGCCCAACGGAGACCCGCACGTGCTGGGCGGCGGCACCGGCGACGACGGCGACGACGGCAGCGACACCTTCGAGGAGGAAGGTGCGTGGGGGAGATCGGGGCCACCATCTCGGAGGGGATGCCGTGGCGTAGGATGGCCTGGCCTGGCCCCCTGGGCTGCGGGTGGCAGAGCGCAGGTGTGCCCAGATGTGCTCAGGTGTGCCCAGATGTTCTCCCGGGAGCGGTGCCCAACGCCAGCGATGCACTCGCTGCACGGCAGTGGGGCTGGGGAGGCTGCAGGGTCTGATTCCCAGCCAGCCCCAGGGGGCACCGAGCTCCTACGTGTTGCCCTGAGGTGGATTTTTTTCTTGTGAAAAAAGTATTTTGTGCCTTTGCTGGTGTACGGGGTGCGGATATCAGGAAAGAGGATGTTCAGGTTTCGAATCCACAGGCAGATCACGTGGGCAGATCTGGGAGAAGTAGTCATGCATGGAAAACGGGAATTTTAATGCAGGTAGCTTGGCAAATTCCACTTTGGGGCATTTCTGCAGTGCCTAGGTATAAAGTTCCTGATACTGCCCTGTCCGGTTAGAACCAGCCCATGGAGGAGGTGAGACGACAGCAGAGCAGTTATGTGGACATAGAGGTCACTCTTAAAGCTGGAATTCTTTCAGAGTAAGCACTTTGTTACTCTTCTGTTGAAAATGGTGGAGTTGGGTTCTGCTCTTTCCCAAAATATTCTGTTCCCAGATGTGACCCACACAGGTGATTTTAGGAGTTGTGTATGGGATTTAGCTGCAGTGACAGGACAATCATTTCTGCCCTAAAACACCCCAAGCACATTCACTGCTTTGCATCATCACAGTGATTTGCATTTCATGTTTTTTGAAGAGCTAAGAGACACATTTGATGTGATGGAGAAAGTCACTAAATTGGATCTACATCCTAACTAATTGGGTTGTTCAGCTTGTAATTAACTGGGCTTTGTGTGCAGTAGCTGGTCATAAAGGGTTGCAGCTATTTCCTGGTCTAATGGGGCTGGGGCTGTGGATCTCTTCCTTCATCTCAAGTAGGAAACCTGATTTTTGTCAACTATTCTTGTAAGAATGTAGAGGAGTTAATGCAATTGCCATACTCCTGCTCAGTGTTTCCAATAGGCATGTGGCTGTTTCCAGAAAAATCCACCAAGCTTGCAACTAACGGAAAACAATAAAATAAAAGGTTTTTACAGCTTATTTTTAAATGGTTAATTCTTTTTCATTTCTCAAAGCTGCACAAATTATATAACCTTCATGTGAGTTTTAGACACTGAGAAAATTAAGCTTCTGCTGTGATTAGACTTCTTGCCAAGCTGATGAATGTCCCTTGCCAGAAGTAGTTACCATGTCTGCTTGGGATCTGCTCACCATTTCAGTGGAATATGGTGCACCAAATAGGAAGCTGTAACTCATGTACCTTGAAAAATGCTGATAGTTTGAAAAATACTGATAACTGCCACCTTTTTGGAAAGCATGTGTTTGTGGGATTGATTTTTAAATCCAAGAATATCATCAGTGCTCTCTCTCGTAATGCCACCTCTGTGTATACCTGCAAGGCCAAACTTTTATTAATGAGCTCAAATGCAACATTACACAATTCTCCAAAGAATTAAAGGCTGCAACACTCTGAACGGCTCCGAAGTGGTTTAAAGATAAGGAGGATAATTAGTTTTTAATAATGAAGCTTCTCAGCTATTAATAATGGAAATTACTTCAATGTTTAAATATTCACAGTTCTTTTAAAGCTGCTGGCAGTGCCTGGACCTGGTGTGCTGGGGCACCAGGACATCCTGCCAAAGGGGCAGCTGAGAGGGTCAGAGCTGGTCTGGGTGATTTCAGCAGAGCCTGACCCTCCTAGGGTGCCCAGAGCACATCTCCCTCCTCTCTCCACATCCTCCAGCTCAGCCTAGCGTTCCAGGCACTGTGAGTATCACACTGGGCTCAGAGGAGCTGGGTGGAGAGGAGCCAGCCCCAGCCCCTGGGCTGTGAGCTTGTCCCACCCACACAAGCAAGCCTCCCCCGGGGTCCTGAATAACCTCAGCAGTTTATCTTGTTTGTTTTTTCAGTTTGGGTATTTGTTATTCTTCAGGATTGTGCGAATATTGCTTGGAGCAATCCAAAATCAAGTATTTGATGCAGTGGCACAGCACTCTTCAGCTGAGTAACAGTGCTAACAGACACCACTGTGAAATGCCATTGTACTGAGGCAAACTACTGCACTTGAAACAATGCTGTGAATTAGAAACTGTACCTAGAGAAGCAACTGCCAGGTTCATCTGTACTGAGTCTGAGTTTAATCTGAAATACCCATAGCCTTAATAGAGCATGAAAATCCTGTGGCTGAACTCGGTGCCCAGCACTTACCTACCTGTGGAAATAATGGTGCCACTACCAGCACGTTTGGGCTCATCCCCTCCTGCCACAGCCATGATGGCTGCACTGTTATGGCAGACTGACTCCAGCCAGGCCCAAGTGAAGCACATCCCAGCCTGGAATCCTTATCCAGATAATTCACAGAAAACAAACCCTGCAACATGCTGACAAAATGCCTGTACTATCAGGAAAGATGATTCCAAAGGCAGCTAAAAAGGCTGACTTGTCTGTGGGATTGATCTGGTACTGTTGCAGTCAGCACTCAGCCTGTGGTTGACTGTTTGTGTGTGAGATCTGAGGCTCTTCAATGTGCCCAAAATGGGTTTGGACTGTTCAGGTACCTTGCCTTAGATCTTGTTAACCAGTGTTCCAGCTTCCCATTGGCCTAATTTGATCAGGGAACAGAGTACATGCAGGATTCAGTTGTATTTTACTTTACCTACCCAGGGGCAAATAAGGCACAGCCAGAATGCTGTGGGCATGTTTTGCCAGAGCTCTCACTGCCTGCTCTGACGGCAGTGACAATGTAATTACATTGTTCAGTCTCTCATTTCCCTTGCTTTTAGAATATGCAGCAATAAACTCCATGCTGGACCAGATCAACTCCTGCTTGGATCACCTGGAGGAGAAGAATGATCACCTACACATCTGCTTGAAGGAATTGCTGGAGTCCAACCGCCAGACCCGGCTGGAGTTCCAGCAGCAGAGCAAGCAGCTGAACACGGGAGCTGATGTGCAGGGATCCCAGCCTCCTGCCTAGTCTGACCACACACTCTCAGCTGGTGTTGCTAAGGGGACAGTTACTGGCCACCAGTTTAATGTAAAACTTGAATAGCAGAGGTGCCTCGTGTCTGTTACGTGTTCCTTTCTGTGTTTGTATCCTGCCATTTATCTCCATGTTCTGTTTTCCTTTAGCTGTGAGACAGGTGCAGAAGCACAAGGGTGGGTGTAGGAGAGCTGGTTCTTTCTGCTCCCCAACATGAGCCTGGCACTCACACTTGGTTAAAGCTGGTTGTAGGAAACTTGAGGCCATGCAGGCAGTTTGCAGGAAAGCCCTCTTCACACAGTAGAAAAATGATCTCTGCTCTCTTTTCTTTAAATCCAAGACAGGAGTATTATGGCTCTTCCTCCTTCCCTCAGAAAGCACAGTTAGCAGGGGCTGTCCTAACTCCAGGCTTGTTCCTATGTGTAATAACTCTGGAGAGGGAGGGCCTAGGCCAGCTGCTGCCTTAGTCACATTAACTGTGATATACGAAATATTGGCACATGGTTCCAGATCACTGGACACTTCCACTCCATTCCAGGCAGATAAGACAAGCTACCAGGGTGCTGTTTCTGACCATTGTAACTGGGAGCTGCCCTACTCCTTCAGCTGACATTAACGACTGAGGAGTGGAAAAAGGCAGAGCAGCCTGGTTAGCCCTTAGCACAGCATCAGCAATAGAGAGCAGAGCCCTCCCTGTACATTCTGACAAGGAACAAGAGGTCTGGTCTGTACCTTGTGATCTTGTATGTCCTAAAGCCAGCACTTTTGAAGCAAGTCTTACTGTTCTACTTATGTAGAGTTAAAGGAGTTTTTTGGAAAGTTAAAGAGGTTATTTAAAAGAAATCTGTTTTATTAAAATCAGTTTGAAACAAAACTTGTTCCTGAGAGTCTCCACTATAAGAACAGATTGGATTAAGCCTTGTAGTATTAACAAAGGACCAAGGTGCATGTTCTTGCCTAGCATAGGACTTGTCCAAGACTGCTTGTCCAACAGTGTGTGTCTTAGAAAGGAAAGTGTTCTGAGAAGCAGAATTCGGCAGACTCTCACATGAGATAAACATTTTCTCTGCCAGGAAAGGAAATGAGAACTACAAAGAATTCTTAAGTCTGCATCCATCACTCCATGAAGTTTGTTCCCTATGGAAATCCCATTACCATCTTCTTTCAGGTTCAACAATCCAAGCCTCAGTCTTTCCACGTAACTGCTGTATCCCAACTGTACAAGTAATAAGCAACACTATCCTGTATTAGACACGCTAAAGCCAGGCTTATTTATTCTTAAAATAAAAACAGCAGTAAAGTTGAAGGTTTTGCTCTATTAAAAGACTCAGAAAATAAACATTTCCAGCAAATATCATAAGTAAAGGGCTCTCCTTTAAGGCCACTCTATCTGGGTTTGCGCCTGGAGGAGCGTCTGCACCCAGCAGAGGCGAGACTGGCTGTCTCACCTTTGGCGAGGGAGGAAAGCTCTGCTGCTGACTCCTGGCCTGCATCTGCTGCCTCGTTCTGTCCTAAGCCTCCTCCACTCCCTGGATCCTGGTGGTCGTCTGTGCCTGCCCTCTGCCTGGCTGTGTTGGCTTCTTCCTCACGTCCCAGTGACTCCCCTACGGTGTGGCTCTCCTCAGAGAACGGGCAGTCGGCACTAGTGGCAGTGGACTTGTTCTCTTCCTGTAGACTTTCTTCTTCTACAACCATGATATCACACACATCATCAGTCACACTGGCCAGGCTCTTGCCCTCTGGCCTAGAGGTGGCCAGCTCACCCTTACCCTCCAGAGACCTTGAAGTTTGTTCTTGCAGGGCTGACAGCTCTGTGCCCTCCTTATCTATCCCATGATCATCATTCATCTTGCTGGCATGTGCTGTTGTAGCAAGAGGCTGTTTTGGATCATCCAGCAATTGGGAGCTGGAGCCCTGGGAATGCAAAGGAGCCTCGGGGTAGGCAGTTGTGGCACGATGCCTTGCTGCCTTGTATCTCTGCAAAAACAAACAAACCAATGTGAGAGAAAAGCCCAGCTCAGCTCCTGTCACTGCAGCAAAGCAGCAGCTGGTCCAGGAACACCTGTACAAAAACAGTGGTGAGTGGCAGGGGCACAAGTGATCTCAGCAGCTCCTGGCCTGGCTGCTGAGGCTCTCAACAGAGAAGGGTCAGCTCCTGTGAGGAAAAGTGGTATTAAAAACTGAAGTCCCTCTCACATTACTTAATGCTGAGCGAGTGCATGGCAGACCTGTGGCTCCTGAGACAGAAATCACAGTCTGGCAACTGTTAATAATCTCAGTCAGACTCAGGACTCTGTAGATCTAACAGTTCAAGTGACAGCTCCTGCTTCAGCTACTGCCAGGACACATACCCTGAGCATGTGAGGCTCTGCACAGCCCTCAGCTACTGGTGTGATTTAATGTTTGTCAGCCAAAGCAAGGCTTAAGCTGAAAGCTTCTTCACTCTGTTGATAAAATCTGCACATCTACAAGTGGAACTGTTGACAGGAAGGCTGTGATATCAATTAGATCTCGTTACAAGTCACTGGGGTTTTCCACAGAGTAAAGGTAAACATATCATCAATAAAATGACTCATTTGCACTCACTATCATGATGAACCAGTAGAGGTCTGTAAAGAGATTTAAATGGCTACTACACACGTTCTAGACTGGATTTCGGAAAAACATCTCGCTGTAGCTAACTAACTTATAACAGGAACCCAATCTTCAATGCCCAGACAGAGCATGACCTAAAGGAACAAACTGTAATTTACTCTTTCCCATAGCAAGCAGTTCCTTGCATAATCAGCTCCTTTTCAGCTGCCTGCTGAAGGCTTCCTTGAGCTGACACGAGCATTACACCTGACAATTTAAGGTAACAAGTTCGAGCACAATGGTTTTCAACGGTCTGCAATGTGGAATTACACCACATCTGAGAGGCAGCTTTGCATTGTAATTCCATTTATCACGGCAGGCTTGTTCCTCCTCTGTCCTCAAATCATGGGATATGAACAGTATCATATCACATTGGAATGAGATCATCGAGTCATATTGTACCCAAACCTAAGCAGGTGCAGGCATGCAGACTGCTGTCCAGAGTGAGCTGTAAATTGTCTCAACAGCACACAATTCTCTGCTTTGAAACCCTCTGCTGAGCTACTCTGCTGAGAATACCCCAGCAACTGGCAGTGATTTAACTCAAACTCTGACAACCCCAAGGCACCCAGGCAGCCAAGAATAATAATTATCTGCCTGCAGATATGTAAGTCTGGACTCTTCTCATGAACTCCCCAGGTCTTTCCAGCATGCATTTGAGGAGCATCTGATTTCAGCTCTTAAGTGGGCCAAAAGAGTGACATAAGTGACTGCAGTTTCACTCTATGCTGATCTAAAACAAGCCAGAAAAACAGCAAGTCCAATTTCTTCAATCCTGAAATGACTAGCTGCAGGAGTGGGAGAGGATGAGCAACCATGAAGGAACAGCTGTGGTCTCCTCCCATTCCAAATCTACTGCTCTGAGTGCTGGCAGAATTCTAAAGCACTCCACCCCTTCCTGGAGGCAGTGATGGCTGACTGGGAATAGTTTCTTCTATCTAAAGACTAGAAAAAAAACCATGAAGTTTTGGGGGGGTTAGGGGTGTGTGTCTATGTATGTGTGTTTGGGGTTTTTTCAGAACACTATTAAAAAAGGTGGTAGGGAAGCACAGCAGTTTTTGGGAGTAGATTCAGAGGACAAAGTTGATGTGGGAGCCTCCCTCCTTGCCAAGGACAGGGAATAGTGCTCTCCTATAAAGGAGAGCCCAGGCAGTGGTCACAGGATAGGGCAGAAACAGTGCAGGCCCTGTGTACCCTCTACAAGCACTAATCCAGGCCCCTCACCCCCTGGCAAGTCAACAAGGACAGAACAATGGAGGCAGATTCCAGGCCAGCCCAGTAAGAAAAGCTTTAGATACGAAAGCAGCAAGGGGCAATACGGCTTCTTTAGGTGGAGCCAGAAAAGCAAAGGAACAGCATCAGTTTGCAGAGCTTTGTGCTAAGGAGTTTCTAGGAAAGGGTAGCAGACAGAGACAGAGAGACAGACAGACTTCCTCTTGCAGGCTGACCCTGAGGACAAATGGACTCTCACCAGCTTGTAGATTCTATCACATAAAGAGTCTGTAATGTTAAGTTTTCAGATTTCTAAGGTAGGCCTCTTCCTGGATGAATCACACCCACACTTTTGGCTAAAGGAGCTGTTCTTGCAGTATCACACCTGAAGATGTGTATGCACCAGCTTACTTTACAAAGAACAGCCTCTCTCACCTGCTCAATCCCACCTTGACCAACTGTAATCTAACAGAGAAGAGGCCTAGACTAAATGACAGACTCCACAGGTTCAGCAAACAGAGTGGACACTCTGAGGAAGATTCCCAGCCAGAAACAGGCAAAAAGATGACAGCAGCAGTAGCTGGGAAGCAGGACTTGACTGGTTTTAGATCTACAAGGGCCAAGGGAGACAAAGACAGAGCACACCAGGAGAAAGCTACGGCATGATGGACACCAAGGATGATGGAAATGAGCTGGAGACAAGACAGCTAACGTGGCGGATTCACTGGAGAGACACGCACGGGGGTAACAAATGCCAGGCCATGCAATCGCCAAAGGGTCTAACCTGAAAGTTCTCAAAATGCATCAGGGACTTGCAGTGTGCGAGCCGGGCAGCGGAGTCGCTATGGTAGAATTTGTGACACAGCCTGCAGAGGTAACCTGCGACGGGGACCAGAAAATCCAGGCCTGCGAAACGGGAGGGGAAGGGAAATCACAGATCACATTGAATGGAACTCAAATAATGAAAGCATGTTAAAAGAGAAGGGGGATGGGAGTAAAAAAGGAGAGGTGGAAAGCTTTGCTTCTGTTAATCGGGGATTTGCAAGATGACTTGCTGAATATCTCGTCTTACCATGGAATGGCTGTGGTTGATATTCAGAGAGAAATCTGGCTGCCAGAGCAAAGAAACTACACAGAGCGTTAAGAGGGTAAAAAGGGAGAAAAGAATACAATGGAAAACTACAGAGAACATGTGATCTAATGTAATGGGATCAAACCAAGCAGAAGACAGCAGGCGCGCAAGAGGAACACGCAGAGAACATTCACAGCATGAATCATTATTCCATCTGCCACACGATAGTGGAAGGTTACAGCGATATGGAAGATTCGTGTAAACAGAGCTCTCCTTGGGCACAAAGAGCCTCTGCAGAGCTGCCCTCCTCAAACACGAGTGGCCGTTCGGGGTTTGAAGTCAGTCGCTTACAGGGTGGGGACCAGACCCAGCCATCTGGAGGCACCACTGCCCACCAGGCCAGCAGCACGGCTGAGGAACTGCTCAGTACAGCGTGGGGTTCTGAAGCGGAGGAAACATGCACAGTTTGGGTCTAGCAGAGAGTTTGATACTGTCAGTGATGCTCAGTATCTCTCTGCAAGCTGCATTTCTGTTGGAAAGCATTCCAATCAATATTTCTGACTCCATCTTTCCAGAGCATCCCTCATTTGCTACCTACTTTCTTCAGTACTCCTGCCCTGCTTGTTCCATGTCCTACCTTAGAAATGTATCTGGCTCTCACCCTTCTTCAAAGCAAAAGGTAGTTGACTAACATCAATCACATCCTTCTGTTTTATCACACAGTAATAAAGAAACATCCTGCTCTCAGGAGAGGTTCTTCTCCAGGCAGCAATGACCTGCATTAGTCCAATGCAGATGCTAGACCACCATGGCCCAAGAAGTCATCATAAAAGTAGGTAGAGACCATCCTCACCTACAGATACAGAATATACAGAAGGCTCTGTGGCACTTTGTGCTTAACTCTGCTTGCTTACCATAGGCTGTGTCTGGACAATACTTCTCACTTCCTTCGTAAT